GTGTGTGTGTGTGTTACCTATGTGTCCTGCTGCCTGCAGTACTGCCTGTATTGTGGCCTGCTGAGCAGTCAGCTGATCTGGGGTTAGTCCTGTCGCCAACATCAAGGTTGTCGTCCCAGGGACCGCCTCACCTCCGTCCCCTTCTGATGACATCAGCTCCTGAGGAAGATCTGTGGTCGCCACCTAAGGGGGGAGGGGTGGAGTGTTAATGTGGTATTAAGTGCTGATTGGTTAATACTGTGTACTTTGTGTGTGACCTACCTGTGCAGCTGTCTCGCTGCTCTCCATGTGAACCTGTAGAATGACAGCATCTGGTTGGCTATCTGTGGGGTCAGGTTCCTGCCCTGTTACCATGGCAACAGTGTCTTTGGACTCTGAGGACTCAACCCTGTCTTCTTCCACCAAAGAGGAGATCATCTGCAGACGGACAAACATGTCATCAGCACAATCCCCCTGAGTGTGTGTGTGTGTTTCAGTGTGTGTCACTCACAGGTATGGATGGTCCGGGTGTGGGCGTTGCCTGTGTAACCATGGTAACAGCTCTGCTCCGATTGGCTGTGGAGGAGGTGGGGTCAGAAGAGGAGGTGGGGTCTGTGGAGTCAACCTGAAGAACGTCTCCGCCCTGTTGAGCTGGATACACAGGACAAGGGTGAGGTCACTTCCTGAAGAGCAGCTGCATCAAAACCTTCAACATCTGTTCCATATCATTCCAGGACCTGGTCCAGGTGTAGACCAGGTGTGTCAGTTTACCTGTTGCTGTGGTCGCGGTGTTGGTGGTTCCGGTCTCGTGAGTCTCACACGGTGGGTTTGAACAAACCTGGAACCAAAAGCAGGATCAGGTTTAGCTTCAACCAACGCTCACCTGCTGTCTCACCTGTCAGCTCACTGGCACCAGGTATGCTAAAGTTGCTGCTCACTGATGTTCTCTGATGTGACTGGTTGAGCTGTGTCACATGGTGTGACATCACATTATGACATCATCTGGTTCACGCAGCACAGGTGCGACTCCATGACCATAATAAATGAGCTCACCTGTAGCGTTTGGCTCATGCTGGAGGAGGCGACAGTGGAGGTGTTGGTTGTCCCCGTGTCGTGAGTCTCACAGGGCGGGTTGGAGCA